AATGAATGAATGAATGAATGAATGAATGAATGAATGAATGAATGAATGAATGAATGAATGAATGAATGAATGAATGAATGAATGAAATGAATGAATGAATGAATGAATGAATGAATGAATGAATGAATGAATGAATGAATGAATGAATGAATGAATGAATGGAATGAATGAATGAATGAAATGAATGAATGAATGAATGAATGAATGAATGAATGAATGAATGAATGAATGAATGAATGAATGAATGGAATGAATGAATGAATGACTGAATGAATGAACGAATGAATGAATGAACAAACGAGTGAATGCCTGAATGACCCAATGAAGAACGAATGAATGAATGAATGAATGAACGAACGAATGAACTTAATGAAATGAAATGAAATGAAATGAAACGAAACGAAACGGAACGAAATGAAATGAAAAGAATGAAATGAAATGAGTGAAATGAAATGAACGAAATGAATGCAATGAATGCAATTAATGCAATGAAAGAAATGAATGAAATGAATGATTGAATGGAATGAATGAAATGAATGAATGAGTGAATGACTGAATGACTGAGTGACTGAATGACTGAGTGACTGAAATGAACGAAATGAATGAATGAATGAATGAATGAAAGAATGAATGACTGAATAAGTGAATGAATGAGTGAATGAATGAATGAATGAATGCATGAATGAAATGAATGAATGAATGATTGAATGAATGACGGAATGAATGAAAGAATGAATGAAATGAATGAAATGAATGAGTGAGTGACTGAGTGAGTGAGTGAGTGAGTGAATGAATGAATGAATGAATGAATGAATGAATGAATGAATGAATGAATGAATGAATGAATGAATGAATGAATGAATGAATGAATGAATGAATGAATGAATGAATGAACGAAATGAATGAATGAATGAATGAATGAATGAATGAATGAATGAATGAATGAACGTCTGAATGAATGAATGAATGAATGAATGAATGAATGAATGAATGAACGTCTGAATGAATGAATGAATGAATGAATGAATGAATGAATGATGGAAGGGCAGGGAATGTATTGAAATGAAATCAGTTTTTTTTATAAAATTAAATGGAATGGAATGGAATGAATGAATGAATGAATGAATGAATGAATGAATGAATGAATGAATGAATGAATGAATGAATGAATGAATGAATTGAATGAAATGAATGAATGAATGAATGAATGAATGAATGAATGAATGAATGAATGAATGAATGAATGAATGAATGAATGAATGAATGAATGAATGAATGAATGAATGAATGAATGAATGAATGAATGAAGGAAGGAAGGAATGAAAATGAATGAATGAATGAATGAATGAATGAATGAATGAATGAATGAATGAATGAATGAATGAATGAATGAATGAATGAATGCATGAATGAATGAATGAATGAATGAATGAATGCATGAATGAATGAATGAATGAATGAATGAATGCATGAAATGAATGAATGAACAAACGAATGAATGAATGAATGAATGAATGAATGAATGAATGAATGAATGAATGAATGAATGAATGAACATGAACAAATGAATGAATGAATGAATGAATGAATGAATGAATGAATGAATGAATGAATGAATGAATGAATCAAAGAATGAATGGAATGGAATGGAATGGAATGGAATGGAATGGAATGAAATGAATGAATGAATGAATGAATGAATGAATGAATGAATGAATGAATGAATGAATGAATGAATGAATGAATGAATGAATGAATGAATGAATGACATGAACGAATGAATGAGTGAATGAGTGAATGACTGGATGGAAGAATGCATGTGAAGGAATGCATGGATGGATGGATGGATGAATGAATGAATGAATGAATGCCTGCAATGTGACGTGGCGTGATGTCATGAAACGTGTGCGTGTGTGTACGTATGTGTGTATGTGTGTATGTGTGTATGTGCGTATGTATGTATGTATGTATGTATGTATGTATGTATGTATGTATGTATGTATGTATGTATGTATGTGTGTGTGTGTATGTGTGTCTGTTGTGGAGGAACGCAATGTGCAAGAGTGTGCTGAGAACGAGTGCCGCGAGGTTTTTTTTGAGGGGCCGTGAGCCAGTGTGTCTTTACATGTGTTACAAACTGATTGCCTAAAGGTCAACGGTCTGCAAAACACAGAACCAAGGGAGTATAATGTAGGAAAGCCGTTCTGGGGCGATGTGCCCAGCGCAACATAGCGCGCTGTGTAATGTAGCCCCAGGTATTGCGACCCAATGCGACGCAACGCGTGAGTGCAAATGCAACTCAGCGCAACGCGCTCGGCTGCGACGCAACGCAACCTAATGTATTACAACGTAAAGTAATGTGTCGTAATGTATGTAGTGCAACACCGTGTGAGCCGGCATCATGCAATTACTGCAACTTAACACAGCGCAGCGCGGCGCGATTCCGATTGGCAAAAAGTAGCATTTTGACAGAGCCCCGCAGATGGTGCGCGTGCTCCGCAGAAATCGTGAGAAGTCCACAGTTTTCCCGCATAAGGGTTTTCGTTTAGAGGTCGGGGGCCTGGGGGTTAGGACGTGACCAGGAGTTGTTGAATTTACGCCCTCAAGCGTTCGTGTGCGTTCGTCAAGTGTTGGGCTTGCAGCTCCAGTGGGGAAAGCGAAAAACGTGCCATGTAGATGACTTGAAGCGTGTCATTTTTCGTGCCCCTGTGCGGGAATCGTAGCTTCTCAAGCTCGACGTGTCGTTTCGCTGCGCAGGCGCAGTGTTTGGAAGGCTGCGTATTCTCGTTGCCGTGCCAGTGGGATTTTGCGATCCAGGGGTGGTCGTCTTGAGGTGTCCTGCTTGGCAGGCGCGTGATAGTGTTTGCGCCGGCGCCGTTTTCGTTGGCCCTGTCGTACAATCAGCTCGATTTTGGCGGGCTTGAAACATGTCAAAATTGGTCGAAATCATTTCGGCGCTACAGTCCTGCGCTAGTTTTCCGCATGCGATGCGAGAGTGTCAAATTCTGATTTCGTGGCAGGCGCAGCCTTTTGAGCCTTTTGCGTGTCAATGTGACGCGATTTTTCGTGACAGGCGCAGCACAACGTTTCCTGTCACGCGCGTCGTTGCCCCTTGCGTCACGTCTCTGGGCAGGTCTCGGGTCACGACCCTCGCCACACGTCTCTTGTCATATTTGCCGTCCCGTCTCTGGCAACCTCTCGCGTCACGATCCTCGTCACGTCTCTTGTCGCATCTCTCGTCACGTCGCGCGCCATATCTCGCGTCTCGTCGCAACTCTCCTCGCACGTCTCTTGTCACATCCATCACATCCATCGTCATGCCTCTGGTCACGTCTTTGGTCACGTCTGTCGTAACAACTCCGGCCACGTCTCTTGTCATGACTTTCATCTTATCTTTCATCATGTGTCTCGACGCGCCTCGCGTCACCAGGCGCAGCACTTTAGAGCTTTTCGTGCAGATTTCGTTGCAGGCGCAGCACTTTCCAACTTGCGTGCAGATTTCGTGGCAGGCGCAGCACTTTCGTTGGGTCGAGTCGCTCTCGCTGTGGCGCGGTGCGCATTTTCAGCACGCAAAGTGAGCCCTCTGCGCGCTTTGGGTCGAATCGCTCTGGCTGTGGCGCGGTGCACCTTTTCGCACGCAAAGTGAGCTCTCGCTGTGGCGCGGCTCGCATTTTGAGATTGCAAAGTGAACCCTCTGCGCACTTTGGGCGAGTCGTGTCGCTCTCGCAAGAAAGACGTGATGGGAGACGCTACGTAGTCGCGACGAGCGGCGCCTCGAGACACGAGATGAAAGATGCGATGATGAAAGATGCGACGAAGGTCATGACGAGAGATGTGGCCAGAGTTGCTATTTCGAGACCTGCCAAGGGACGTCGTCTAGCTACGTGGCGATAGATGTGACAAGAAACGTTGTTACGTGAGACGCGACAAGGACAAGGAAAAAAAGAGAGACGTGACAAGAGACGCTGCGACGAGAAACCTGACAAGGGGCGTGATCAGAGACGTGGCGTGAGACGCCACCAGAGACGTGACTATACACAAAAAAGAGGAATAGCCAGATACTCTATCTGGCGAGGAGAGACGTGACAAGATTGGACCGGAGACAGAGATGTGACAAGAGACGTGGCGCGAGGGCCGACGACTCATGCGTGACAAGAGACGTGACGAGAGTCGCCAAGAAAGACGTGGCGGGAAGCGCGACGGAGTCATGATGACAGGCGCGGCGAGACAAGGGAAAAAGACCAGAGACGCGACTTGAGGGGTGACGACTCGCATGACAAGACATGACGGGAGTCGCCAAGAAAGACGTGATGGTAGACGTGACAGCGGGTTTGACGAAAGTCGTGACGAGAGACGTGGCCAGAGTTGCTACGAGAGACGTGACAATGACATGACCCGAAGTGACCAGAGACGTGACCATAGAAACGTGATCAGAGACGCGACGCGAGATGTGACAAGAGTCCGCTTTCGTGTCCGCATTCGTGGCTTCTATCAGGTTTTGACATCGACCGCGCCGATGGCCGCGCCCGCCCCAGAAACATTGAAATGTATTGGTTTGCACGGAATGAATGTAATGGAATGCAATCTGAGTAGCGCAGCCCAGCGCAACGCCGCGCGACGCTTTTCTTTGTAAGACAATGCAACGCAGTGGAACGCAACACGTTGTAGTGTATGGCAACATAGCGTGAGGTAAGGCGTGTTGTATGGTACGTAGTTCAACGGAATGTAAGGCAATGTACTGTTAGACGGTGTAACGCAATGCAACGCAACGCGTCGCAGTGCGATGCGACGCAACGCATGGCAGCCACGCAACGCAATGCAACGCAGCCCAACGCACCGCGATGCCATGTAAGGCAAGGCAGGGCCATGCGACGCACAGCAATGTAATCAACGCGCAGCAATATGGCGCAATGTAATGTATTTGTTCGTGCAATGTAATGTATTTTTCTTTTACTCCGCTATTGCTCATTTGAGCCAGCTGGGCATGATTTTTTGTGCAGGCCTCTTGGGTGCTGACTCTTTTCGGGCTGCTGTCAGCCTTCGCGGAGCAGTCCAATTCCGATACTGCGCCCGCCCGGCCCCCAGGAGGGAGGCGCTATCTTCAGCTTTCCTTAGAGAACCAGACTGGGGCCGTTTTTCCTTCATGGGTGTTGTTCCTCCGGTTTGTTGGGGCAAATGGATGCTTGGGAGGAGATAGACAACATTAACCTTTGTGCCACCGCCATTGTGGCCGTGCAAGGCAAAGCGGCGAAGGGGTTTTCAACTTACACAGAATGCTGTACTCAGGCGATGCTGGTTCTTGCAAACATCCTGCGGGTGATCGCCACTCTTGTCGTTGGCTCCTTCATGGGCTACGCTTGCAGCCTGCTGGTGCAGCAGAGAGAATGGCTGGCCAAAGATGACGGCTGCTGCAAGAAGCTCTTCTGGTTCTGCGGAATGGGTTTGTCTCCAAATGTGGCGCCCCCCAAGCAATTTGAAGAGGGGGTTCAAAGGCGACCCAACAGCAAGTTTGCTGGTTGCTTTTCTTGCGGGGCAAGGTTTTGGATTCTGTGCATGCGCAACGAGGATTGCGTTTACGAACAAGCCAGTGGAGGCTTATTTGCTGGTGCTGGCGGTTGCGTTGGCTGCTTTTAGCTTGGGCCAGGAGAAGGCGGGCCGTGGTCTTCCGTCCACCTGCGCGCTTGCTCATGAGAGCGCGCAGGGCTTCAGAATGCGCGAGTGTTCCCTAATACACCCTCGCATGACTTCGTGGCACGTTGAGATCCAAGGTGTTCTTTTTCCGATCGATTTTTTGCGCCAAAGGTAAAGGTGTAATGCGTGGTCAACTGCCAAACTTTTCCACGCAAACAAGGGGCTTCGCTAAACGAAAACAACCCGTCGGATTGGAGACCGAATGCCCTTTTGTGGTTTCACGCTTTCAAAATTACAACATTGCTAATAAGTGATACTGAGTCAGTTCACAGTGAAATCCGGCAGAGTCCAGCAGGCTTTGTTTTTTTGCTAACACGGAGTGCCGCGGAAGCACATGCGAGGGGTGCCTGGGCTGGTGTGCTCGTCTGCTGCGGCGCGCGTGCTGGGGCACGCGTGCCCTTGACATTGTCACCCCGCGACAGATGAATGGTCTGCGATGCGCGTGCGGCAGATGAGGTTGTGGGCGGGTGTGTTTGTGTAGCGCCCCGATGCACGAAAATGGTAAGCCTTGTCCCACTACCACCGTTGATGCTCAATTCGTCAGGGTTTGCGCTGTGGGCTGAGGAGTCGCTTGAGCCACAACCAGCAGTGCCCAAGCCGCTGTTCCAGCCACCCTTCGTACAGCAGCAAACAACAAGCCACCCTGTGCCCGACCACTGAGATAGTGCCCGACCACTGAGACAGTGTCGATTGGGCCAGGAACCTGTGTGCTAGGTCGAGTTCAGCTGGCAGGCAAACAAGCATGCAATGTGTGAACGAAAACCTCCCAGCGGCTGCAGGAAGGCTGAGCCATCAGGCGCAGGAGCGTGCCACATTTTCACAAGAAGCGCGAAAACTAGCCGGAAGGAAGAGTCGGAAGAACCATATTTGGAGCGTGGGGTGGTTGCGTACGTCGGCGTGACCGAAAGACGAAGTGTCAGAAAACGTGACACCCCCCGCACACCCTGTGTTTGTTTTGGTTCACATGACACCATTCATCTTCCCACAACCGTTTTGGTTCTTTTTTTCCTACGCCAGAGAGAAAGAGCCTTGTCAAATTGGGACATAATTGATCCGCTTAGGGACCTCAACAAGACCGTGAGACTCAGGTGTGGCAGGTTCGATCCAGACTCCAGTCAGAGACTGCGCGTTTGCAGCCATCGCAGAGAAATGCAAGATCCTGCCACACCGCAGCTTGTTGAGCATCCAGAGCCTACTTATGCCGGTTGGAGTAACCAAGAGTGAAGCAGGCTGGTTCTCATCTCATGACATAGATATGGCAATCCACGCGATGATGGCAATTTATGACGCATGTGTCAGAATGAGAAGGCTAATCCAATCTGATACAGTTTCTGCCCAACTTGTCAGTCCACCACCAAGCTGGTGGCACCTGTCATCTATGCAGTCCTGGACAGCGGATGTACCAGTAGGGCAGCTGTTTTACTAAGGCCATCAAAACAATCAAGAACCTCATCTCCTACGAGTACATTCTGGCCGAGACCACTTCCACATGGAGAGGCAGCCAAGGTCAACTGGACTTTGCGCCTCTAAAACCATACGACTCCCCTCCAGCCAGCGCCAACAAGGAACTGTACTGGTACTCCTCAGTGTCAGTCAGCTGAGAAACCACTATATGACCGTCGAGATATGCTCAGCCTGACAAGATCACATGTAAGGCTTTTGGTATGGACCGTCAAGCGGCTCCAGTGTCCGGAGCAGGACATGCTCTTGATCTTGCTGGAGCGGCGAAACTGAAATCACGGAGAAGTTGCTGGTACGGGCCTCAACAACTATGTTTATGACGACGATGGCAGCGCCAAGTTTCCACATCCAAAATCATCAAAAGAGGAAGTTTTTGCGCATCCAAGTCATCTGAGACAAAGGAGGACACAGCAATCCCAAAGATAATCGGATCTCAGAAGCAGGATCGTTGGATACTTCACACTAAGAAAAGCCCACTCGTGTTCACATCACGCCTCGGAAGGCGCTGTTCACGCCGTCAGAAGCTAAGGAAGGCCCAACTGATCCTGAGAACATCGAGGCGGATTTGAAGACAATTGGAGCCTTGCGTCCCAGGCAAACAAACCAATGGCGAACCTGTGGAAAGGTAAGACCGAAGAAGCAGGTTCAGGCCTGCTGCAAATAGGATCATCGAAAATGATAATTTTGCACCATTCTGAGATGAACCAACGCGCAGAATCCATCAGCGATACCTCCAGCACCATCGCACGAATAACGAGCGAGTGCGAAGTTTGCCAGGCAGCAAAACAAGCGCCACCCAGAAGCAAAGCGAGTGGACTTTGAGCGGACACATTTGGAGACATGACACTCATTGATCACTGTCAGGTCTCGCAAGAAATCGGAGAGCGATGATGTTTTGTAGCGACAACATTGCTCACTGCAGATTCCCGCCCGTCGGTGTAGTGCCCGTGGGGCGGATGGCTCAGGAGCCGGCGTGGATGGCCTGTGCTCTAAAGTTC